CCAGGTGGCATCATTGATGGACTCGGGGGTGGCAGCGGTGGTGAGGTTGGCCCAGGATCGAACATTGTTTCGTTCTGCTGTGCATGGAGTCGTCGCTATGAGTCGGTTCCGACTCGATGGCACCTGACAACAACAATCTTCTAAGAAGCCCATGAATAATTTTCTCTCCACCCGGAACCTCATAAAAGTGTTTCTTTTATCAGGAAAACCTTTTTGGAGCTTTTTATAACATTGGTCTCACACAATATTTGTTCTGTTGTGATTCACTAATGTCACTCAGCATAATGTCCTCCAGGTTCAACCATGTTGTGAGGGGTTTCACAGATTCATCATTATTTGTTGTATTCCAATGTGTTTATGTACCAAAGTGTGTGTAACCGTTCTTCTGTTGATGGGCATTTAGGCTGTCTCCATCTTTTGGGTATGTCTCTTGTAGGTAGCATATTGAAGGATCCTGTTTTCTTCTCCATTCTGCTCTGTATGCTTCTTGACTGGTACATTTAATAATTTCCATTGAATGTAATTGTCAGTAGGTGTGAATGAATTGATGGCTCTCATTTTTCTGAGTGTGTGTTTGTGTTGCAGCTGGATTCTTTGTGCCACATAATTTTCTATGGTGAGTTCCTGGAGAGCAGGGGCTTTAGGATCTTTGCTGGGGGTGGATGAGGCTAGGAGCTGGCCACACCTCTGGTCACCAAGGGAATGTGAGGGAAAAGAAGAAATTGCACCTTTTCTGTTGCCAAGCGAATCTGCTCTGCCAGACCTCCTCCGCTGCCAAAGCTGTTCACAAGGTGGTCAGGCCGCGTTTGGCCCACTGCTTGCCCTTCCGTTTCCCTTTGTCGCAGTCCCTGTTTGACCTCTCCTCCCAGCAAGCACTCCATCCATCTCTCTAACCTTTCTTAAGTTCAGGGTGTCAGAATTTTCATCTGTTTGTTTTGTGTGGTCTTTCGTATTGTTGTAGAGGGTCCGTGTAGTGCATCTACCTAGTCTGCCACCTTGCTGGAAGTCCCTCTGTATAGAGTTTTTTGTTTTGTTTTGTTTTTTGGTTTTTTTCCTGTATAGAGGTTTTGAGGTAAATCTTTGTGAGATCAGAAAACCTCATCTTTCTCTTTGGAGCAACTAGTGGGCTCGAACTGCTGACCTTGTGGGTTCGCAGTCCAGTGCTTATCCTACAGAGCCACCATGCGCCCTTGTTAAGATTGTTGATGTTCTTAAGTGCTGTCGAGTTGGTTCGGACTCATAGCAATCCAAGGAGCAGTTGGTGGGTTTGAACTGTCAACCTTGTGGTTCGCAGTCCAGTGCTGATTGTACGGCACCACACCAGGAGTGTAGAAAACCCGACGGTTCTCTGTCACATGGGGTCACTCTAATTTGGGATCAATTCGACGGCACCTAACTGCAACAGCAGCAAGTATCAGGATGTAAGAGAGATCCAAGGCAAAAGGAACAGGCCTTGTGGAAGGAGGTCCCTGGGAAAAGGAGTGTTTATACTGGGGACAATGAGGTTGGGACTCTTGGCTCCTTGTGTGTTTTGGAGTCCCTGGATGGTGCAAATGGTTAAGATATTCAGCTGCTAACTGAAAGATTGGGAGTTCAGCTCTCCCAGTAGGTTCCTAGGAAGAAAGACTTGGCCACCTACTAATGTAATTCAGGCTGGGAAGTGAGCAGGGGCCAGAGCGTGTGCAGCCTGACTCCTCCTCTGTGTTGCTGCCTGTCCTTCAGGAGCTCCCAGCTGGTGGGAGGAGGAAGAGAGGACTGCCTGAGCTTGTGGGGACAAAGCGGTGAACACCCAGCCTTAGTGGGAGACATTGGGGAGAATGAGAGTGCTGGGTATCTGGGCAGCTGCCATGCCCCGGGAGGGGGCAGCAGAGGGAGGACTTTCTTTCAGGAGTTAAGAAAGAACCTCAGAGCCCCTCTGACCAGTCTCCCTGTACCTTAGACTGCCACGACCAAGGTCCCGGAGATCCGCGATGTGACAAGGATTGAGCGCATTGGTGAGTGAACCCACAGGGACCCTGCCAGCCCCAGGTCTCCTTGGCAGAGCAAAGGATACCTGAAGGGACAGCCCCTCACCATCTGCACATCTAATGCTGAGTTCTGGATCGGGGGCAGTGCCAGGCCCCCACCCTGATAAGGCAAACATCTGAGTGTTTGGAACCCTAGTGGTTGGGAGTCACTGCCAACTCATAGAGACCCTATGCACAGCAGAACAAAACACTTCCCAATCCTGGGCCAACCTCACTATTGTTGCCATGCTTAAGCCCATTGATGCTGCCCCTTGGCCAATCCATCTTGCTGGGGGTTAACCATTGGGCTGGAGACTGTTGTCCCTGTTTTGGGGGGAGGTGACTGAGGCTCAGAGCAGTTATAGTCAGGGCGCTGACCCACCCCCGCTTGGCTGGTGAGCAGTCAGTGAGATCAGCCAGCAGAAGGCAGCCCTCAGAAGCTCAGGGCCTCACTCCATTCAGTCTTTCTTCCTTTACTCGTTCACCCAGCGGATTTGTTCCAGGGCTTGTGACCCCGTGCCTGGATCCTGGTACCACAGTGCTGGGTTCTCGAAGCCCAGTTCTGCTACTTCCAAGCCATGTGACTGGGGTGGGGGTGGGGGTGTCGCTGCTCTCTGCCTCAGTTTCCTCCTCCATGCAATGGAGCTTCGAGTTCAGGGACCGGCTCTGCTGACCCTCAGAGCCCATTGTCAAGATCAGGGTCAGCAAGCTTTCTGAAATCTTTTCTTCATTGCCACGACTGCCCTATTGTTAAGTGCTGTTGCATTAATTTGAACTCATAGTGACCCACATGACAGTGTAGACCTGCCCCATCGGGTTTCTAGGCTCCCGTCAGGACGGGTACAGATTGCCGGGTCTTGTCTCTCAAGGAGCATCTAGTGGGTTGGAATCTTAACCACCTTTCAGTTAGCAGCCAAATGCTTAACCGTTGCTCCACCAAGCCCAAAACACTAGACCTGTTACCGCGAAGTCGATTCTGACTCATAGCAGCAGGTCTAGGACAGGGTAGAACTGTCGCCCATAGGGGTATCACAGCTGTGATGTTTACCGAAGCAGAGCTCCTGAGGAGCTGCTTGCTCGGTGGGTTCAAACCCCAGACCTTTTGGTTAGCAGCCAAGCACTTGCTTAATTAACACTTGCGCTAGCACAGCTCCTTTGGAGTTACACAAAAGGAGCCGTAAGACAGTATGTAAGTCATTGCATGCAGCTGTGTTTCAATAAAACTTTATGAAGAGAAACAGCTGACCTGCTATGGACCGTAGTTTGCCAAGCCCTGGTGTCCTGCAAAGTATTGGAATCCAATCTTCGCCGCTCCCTGGCTTTGTAACCTTGGACAAAGGGCGTAACTAACGTGTATGAGTCCCCGTCTGTCTCTTCATTGATAATCATAGGTTTCAGCATGGGCTAGGGCAGTTGCTACAGATCCTTAGCTCGAACTTCCTATTCTAAGGTTTACGTCAAGTGACGTGGGAGCCTTAGAACCTGGGAATGCCACTTAGGCCGGTAGGCAAGCAGCTGTGCTAGTTAACCCTCCCAGTTAAGCACCGATGGGAACATGGGGTTCCCCAGGTCTAAGCGATTTCACCCCACTAGGATGTTCTCCATGAGCAGTTTCAGGTTACTCCTCAGACCTCCTGCCAGCAACCCCGAGAGGTGCAGATTTGGTCTTCCCCGCTTCCCCAGTTATCATAGTGGGCTATGAATTGGGCTGCCAGCCACTTGGTCCGCAGTTGGAATCTACCCGCCACTCCTCCTCAGGAGCAAGACCATCTGTTCTGTGTCCACTGACAGCTTCAGGAACCCGAGGGAGCAGTTCTACTGCCCTGTGTGTCGTTATGAGTTGGAATCAACTCATTGGCAGTGGGCCTCCCCTAGAAAATCAGGGTTCAGCAAGGAAGCCCGTTACTTGAGACTGCACCTGTTCCCTGCCCTTCCGCCTTCCTGAGCTGTCTCCTTTGTTTCCCCACACACACAGGTGCTCACTCCCACATCCGGGGGCTGGGCCTGGATGACGCCTTGGAACCGCGGCAGGTAGAGTGTTGGGGAGACGGGTGTGAGGGCACCTCCAAGAGACCTCAGGCAGAGGACTCCCAGGGATGGGGGCTTGTTGCGGTCTTCCAGACTTTTGGCCACATATTTATAAAATCAAGCTACAGGCGTAGTTACAGTGATGTTCAAAAGATTTGGGGTGGAGAAGGTGAGGGGGGCCTGTCTACTGTCTGCGTTCCCTCTGTGGCTTTTCCCAGACGCCCCCCTCAACGGGGCCCATTTTTATCTCGCCACTGGTAGCCAGGGTGTAGTGGAAAGTCACTTTCTCGTCCAGTCAGACATCACCTCCTTTCCTTTCTCTCCTCCACCCACAGGCCTCCCAGGGCATGGTGGGCCAGCTGGCAGCCCGGCGAGCAGCAGGCGTCGTGCTAGAGATGATTCGTGAAGGGAAGATCGCTGGGCGGGCAGTCCTCATCGCCGGCCAGCCAGGCACTGGAAAGACAGCCATTGCCATGGGTAAGTGGCAGTTTGGGGCAGGGGCTTTCCTGGTCTCAGCCAACTAATCCCTCCCATGTAAGTCAGGGTCAGCCACAATTCCCAAACAATCCGAAATAGCAGTGGCTTAAACACTCCAGAACCCATTCTCACATAGAAGAATGTGGATTAGGTCATTGAGGGCATGTTGATCCATTCCATGAAGTCTTGTCCCTTCATGCCTTGATAGCCTCTGCATTGGCTTCCTTGTCCAGATCGCCTCATTGTCCCAACAAGGTTGCCTGAGCTCCAGCCTTCCCATCCATACTCCAGGCAGCTAGAAACAGGAGGATTGCAATGAGAGTGTTCCCCCTCCAAGTAACTCATTTGAACCAGTTGTCCTGGGCATCTCACACATGTTTTGCTTAAGTTTCCTGAACCAGAACTTAATTGTTTGGTCATACTCTGCTGCAAGGGAGACTGGGATGTTACAAAAACTATATTATGTGTGTGTTTTTTTGTTTGTTTTTTCAATTTGGACTGTTGCTGCCTTAATTAAATGGGGTTTGGAACTAATGAAGAAAGGAAAGATGGGCACTGGGTGACAACTGTCTGTTACAGTCCGAGAGCAATTTGAGATCTTTTCACTCACAACTGCCTTTCATCCTTCTTGTTAAACTCCTGTTTATCTTTCAAAGTCCTACCCAGGCATCTCTACCTTGTCTTAGCTTTTCTCGATTCTCTTCTTTGACCACATGGAGTGGAAGTCCTCACTTCCACAGCTGTGATCGGACCGTGGCATCAGGCAATGAGAATCTTCAGTGACGAGAATGCCAACCTTCCTTCTGGTGTTCTGGCGTGCGAAGCCCTGGGCGGGGCATGGGGACAGGTGGATGATGGAGAGAGCACAGGACCTAGGTGACACCTTGCCCTAGTGGGGAAAGATGGATGATGTGGCAGTAGTTGGAGGTGGGTGCTGCTTCCCAGACAAGCCCAGTGCCTGAGCAATGCCTTGTAGGGTGTCGAGAATCTCTGGATCGACAGTAGTGATCAGTATAGCCAGGCAGTGAATTTGGCACACCTGGCGACTTTCTTACTCATTACCTGCCTCATCGCTCATTTCACAACTCCTGGGCAAAGTTGTGGTGAGCCCGGACTTGGGCTAGAGCCGCTCCACATCTACTGTGATCAGGAAGCGCAGGGAAGTCGGCTGCTTCCTCCAGAGTCCCCTCACCATCTGAGAAAGGGGCCTGGAAGAGCTCCTGCCTTATGCTGGCAGGGGGCCTGGAGACAGCTCTTTGTGAGGTCTGAGCTCCCAGCTCGGCAGAGCCCCAAGCAGGGCAGTTAGGGATAGGAGTCTAGGACTTAGAGTGCTGGTGGGAAACAGACCACTGGTCATCATCGGCTCTGGGCCCAGCCTGCTGGGCAGGCCTGTCTCTGCACTGGTTCCAGGCCACAGAGCAGGTTGTGGTTAACCCACTGCCTGCCTGTCTGCCTGCTCTCTAATCACTCTTTGTACAAGGCTTGGGCATTCACTTGTTCTGTTATTTTATTTTTGCTGTTTTTATTATTCCCAGCAGAATATATACTAACTCAGCCATTTCTACATGTATGGTTCAATGACAAGGATTGCGTTCTGCGAGTTGTATGACAATTCTCACCCTCCTTTCCTGAGTTGTTCCTGCACCGTTCACATAAACTCACTGCTCTCTGAATTTCTTATCTAACCTTTCGGGTTGCTCCTGTCAGTTTGATCCCATAGACTTAGGCCTTCAAAGAGCACAAGGCTCAAAGCAGATGTCTTTTACTAGTTAACTTGTTTCATTGCTACTAGCCTCAGTTGATACAGGGGGAGACAGAGGCTCAGAGAGCTGGTGAAACTTGCCTGAGATCACACAGCCCTAAGTGCTGGAGTTGGGCCCCACCTCCTCCTGCCCCCTGACCTCTGCTCCCTGCTCACCACCCTCAACCTAAGGCTAAGCAGCTCTATGAAGTGGGGAGACAGGTTTCATAAGACTATAGGGTTATGGGATTTAGCCTCTGGACAGTGGGGGCTTCTAGTCCAGGTCTCCTGATACAGACCCTCCTTGTTGGGGAAGATGGGGGGGACCTGATGCTGGAACCACCCCCACCAATCAGACCCCACCTCTACAGGCATGGCCCAGGCCCTGGGACCCGACACCCCATTCACGGCCATTGCGGGCAGTGAGATCTTCTCCTTGGAGATGAGCAAGACCGAGGCCCTGACACAGGCTTTCCGGCGGTCCATTGGCGTTCGTATCAAGTGAGCTGGGCCCCAGGCTGGGGGGGGGCAGTCCTTTGCCCTGGATGGCCTGTGCTGTGCCTGAGGGCTCACAGGAACCCAGTGATTGTTCAGGTGCCCCCTGACCCTGGGCTGGGCTCTCCCCTCACTTCTGCTGTCTGACTAGGGAGGAGACTGAGATCATCGAAGGGGAGGTGGTGGAAATCCAGATCGACCGGCCCGCCACGGGGACGGTGAGTTGCCTCTCCAGCCTGGGATAGGGGAGACGCGGTGTCAGTCAGCACTGAGGTCAGAGTACTGTCTGTAGTCAGGCTTCAGGTTGAGACCACAGTAAAAAAGATGAGGCCATTCGGTCCCATAAAGATTGGCAGCCTGAAAACAACATGGGCAGTTCTGCTTTCTCCTTTAGGGTGGCTGTGAGTCTAATTCTACTTGAGGTAGTGGGTTTGGTTTGGTTTTCTGTTATCCTGGAGTCCTGGTTGCACAGTGGCTAAAGCACTTGGCTGCAAATCAAGGTGGCTCAAGCCCACTAGCTGATGTGATGGAGCTGATGTAGTTTTCAGCTTCCGTAAAGATTTACAGCTTTAGGGCATTCACCTCTGTCCTTTAGGGCTGCTGCGAGTCGGAATCGATGCACAAGCAACTTGTACATTTTGAAAGTTTACGATGTGATAAGTTTTGACACACATACATAGCACAGTCAAGCTAGTGAACACCCATCCATCACCCCTGCAAGCATCCTTGGCACATGCCCTGTGTAGACAGAGACCTGGACAGGGTAGGCGGGGTGGACCCTCTCTGAGCCCCTTCCCTGCCTCTTACCCCTCCCAGGGCTCCAAGGTGGGCAAGCTGACCCTCAAGACCACGGAGATGGAGACCATCTATGACCTGGGCACCAAGATGATTGAGTCTCTGACCAAGGACAAGGTCCAGGCAGGGTGAGCAGTGGCTTCTGGCTGGAGCGGTGCGGGCGGTGTGGGAACGGGGACCTTCCCTTTCTCACCGTCAACAGGGACTCTGACCTCCCTCTGCAGGGATGTCATCACCATAGACAAGGCCACAGGCAAGATCTCCAAGCTGGGCCGCTCCTTCACACGCGCTCGAGACTATGACGCCATGGGCTCCCAGGTGTGTACGGGCTCTGACGGGAACCCTGTGGCCTCGGGTCACCAGGGTGCCCCCACCTCCTTCATCACCCTGGGCCCCTACCCCAGGGTCTGAATCCTTGTGCCATCCAACTTCATGTCCTTGGTATTCTGGAGTCTTCCCTGTAATCCCCCTCCCCCCACCGAGACAGCTGGGCACCCCTCAGCTTGGCACTTTGACTCCGCATCACCCCAGGAGCCCCCGTCACCTGTAGTGTTGACAGCCCTAGTCTTGATCACCTCTAAATGGGGTTTCTTGATGACAGCCCCCTCATTCTCTTGCCTCCCTCTGGATGCCCAGCTCCTTCTGGGAAGCCCCAGTGTCTCCCCACAACAGAGCCCCTTAGAAGTCCAGCCTGCATGACCTTCTCTGCTCTTGTCTCTACCCACCCCCACCAACCCCACAGACCAAGTTTGTGCAGTGCCCAGACGGGGAGCTCCAGAAGCGTAAGGAGGTGGTGCACACTGTGTCCCTGCACGAGATCGACGTCATCAACTCCCGCACCCAGGGCTTCCTGGCACTCTTCTCCGGTGAGCGGCATCCTGCCCTGCCTTATATCCTTTCTGTCTCTGTCACTTGGGTCTCTGCATCTCCGAGAATGGCTGGTCCCTCCCTTCACAGCATCTGAGACCTCTGTGAGACCTCCATCAGGTGGTCCCAGGCCTACCCTCTTTCCCTCCACCTTCTCTCTTTTTCCTTCCTATTTGGGGACACTTCAGACCCCCACCTCATGTCACCTTAGACTCCTGCCCTGCTGTCACCTCGCCTCTCTAGTCCTTGTCATTTAGGCCCCGGCATCCACCTTTCTCTGGGTCCTGTCTCCTGTCACTGATGCCCTCTCTCTGCATACTGCAGGCGACACAGGGGAGATCAAGTCAGAGGTCCGCGAGCAGATCAACGCCAAGGTGGCCGAGTGGCGCGAGGAGGGCAAAGCGGAGATCATCCCTGGGGTGAGTGCCCAGGCTGGCTTGTCAGGGTGGCCTGCACTAGAGGGGGCCGGTGGCAGGTAGGGGTCTGATGCATGTTCCAACGGCTCCAGGTGCTGTTCATCGACGAGGTCCACATGCTGGACATCGAGAGCTTCTCCTTCCTCAACCGGGCGCTGGAGAGCGACATGGCGCCTGTCCTCATTATGGCCACCAACCGTGGCATCACCCGGTGAGCTGACTGCAGAGTGTAGCTGTGGGTCCCAGGAGTAGCACTCAGCACATTCACAGGGCACTGTGTTGGGTGGGGACAGGTCTTCTGCTGTAACAAAGACAGCCATTGCCAGAATGGCTCAGACAATATGTTCTTTCCCTCAAATGATCCCAAAGTGGGCAGGTGGCCCTGCGTGGGCAGGCGTTTCCACTCCAGAGGAAGCCTGCGGGCCATGTTCTTTCAGGTTTACCACTTCCATAGGCCTTAGGGCTGTGCTTCGCAAACTTGGGGGTCCAAGGCATCCCAGGGTGCCGGCAGGGCCTTCCTAGGTTTTAGGTAAGCACAACGTGACATCTACTGCAAACCATGTATGTCAACTAATGTCTTAATAATTAAGAGGGGAGCTTAGCACATCTTTCTACCCAAGGATGCAGGGGAAAGAGTCCTGAGACACCAAGGCACCATGCTGTGAAAACGTCAGGTCACCTCAGACCTCGGGGTGTTCTTCCCTAAATCCACCCTTTAAATCACAGGAGGTGGGTGAGGAGGAAGCGGAGGGCAAGTGACTCCCTGCCAGGCTGTTATCCAGAGGTGGTGCACCTGGCTCATTGGGGGGAAGTAGGAGACTGAGAGAGAGGCTGTCTCCAGTGTTGCCGCCACCTGCCCAGCTGAAAGTGTAACAAAGAACACCCCTCCCCCACTAGAGGGAAGCAGGTGCTGGCAACCTGGGGCAATGGGCACCCAAGTTTCCAGGCTCTTTGCTTGGTATGCTAACCCCTCAGAGGAAGCCCAGATAGTAGGTGTTATCTGAATCCTCTTTTATAACTCAGAGGCCTGGTGATGCAGTGGTTAAATGCTCAACCGTGAACTATACGGTCAGCTGTTGAAATCTACCAGCTGCTCTATGGGAGAAAGATACGGTGGTCTCCTTCCGTAAAGATCGACAGCCTTGGAGACCCTATGGGGCGGTTCTACTCTGTCCCACAGGGTGGCTGTGTGTTCGGTTTGGTGTGATAAACGGCTCATTTACACATGAGGAGCCCAGGTAGTTCTAGGCTGCACACTGAAAGGTCAGTAGGAGTTTGAGTCCCCCAGCAGCTCTGCAGGAAATAGACGAGACGGTCTGCTTCTGTAAAGATAGGCAGCCTGGGAAACTAGAGAGCAGTTCTGCTCTATCCTTCAGGCTCCCTCGGTCAGAGTGGACTGGAGGGTGTGTGGGGGCTTTATCTCAGATCAGAACTGGAAGGCAGAGAAAAGACCCGGGGCTGATTCAAGGCCTTGTGTCTAGAAGGTGGTGTGGCCAAGGGTGGATAGAGACAGGAAGGGCCTGGGAATTGGTATCTCCTGCAAGTGGGCGCCCACTCCGGGCTGGGCCTGGGGCAGCAGGGGTGGGACCTTGATGCAGTAATCCTGGATGTAGGGATCTAGGGAAAGCCAGGCTGCCTCTACACCAGGCCCCTCAAGATTGACGCAGGCGGTGACACCAGCCACGCACTGAAGGTTAAGCAGCGTAAGGCTCAGTGAGTGGGTGGCAGGGCAGGAGGGGTAACTGGGAGTGTTTAGATGCAGGGATGGGAGAGCTGGGGGCCTGCTGGCTTCTGGAAGGACCTCTGACGGCATTCTTTCTCTTACCTACCCCCAGCATTCGGGGCACCAGTTACCAGAGCCCACACGGCATCCCCATCGACCTGCTTGACCGGCTGCTCATCGTCTCCACCTCTCCCTACAGCGAGAAGGACACGAAGCAGATCCTCCGCATACGGTGAGTTCTGGATTTAGGCCGCTGTCACAATTGAGAAAGTGAAGTCTGAGGAGTAGGGAGGCCTGCGGGGAGAGGGCAGGATGAGGGACCCTGGATTGGGGATGAGGAGGCCCAGGCTTTAGACCTCCATGGCCCCTCTAGCCTTGGCAACCCGTGGCTATAAGGTTGCTCAGCACCACACAGGCCAGGGGTGCCTGTAGCTCCCTATCCCCTGCAATGTGATCAGCTCGCCCTGACTGAGCCCTCCCCCACGTCGGTGTGCAGGTGTGAGGAGGAAGATGTGGAGATGAGTGAGGACGCCTACACTGTCCTGACGCGCATCGGGCTGGAGACGTCACTGCGCTATGCCATCCAGCTCATCACAGCTGCCAGCCTGGTGTGCCGGAAACGCAAGGTCAGTGGGGGAATCTGAGCACTCCTGCACTAGGACTGGTGGGGAGGAAAGGAGGTTTAAACCTAGAGATTTACGTTAGCGGCAACAAGGCATTTCTGTCCCTCGTATTTCTCTCGTATCTCCAGGCCTGGTGCCTAGTAGGTGCTCAGTAAGTATCTGTCTAATGCAAATAGATGGCGCTGGGTCCTTTTCTAGCTGAGGAAACCCAAGGAGTGGAGAGGGTGGGCCCTAGAGAAAGTTAGGTGGTGGTTGAACAGCATTTGAACCGCGGCTTTCAGACCCAGAGCCATGGCCTCACCCACCACTCTCTGCTACCTGGAACTGGACTCTGGGTGTTGTGGTGACTATCAACGTGAAGCCTTCTCTCCTCCAGGGCACAGAGGTGCAGGTGGACGACATCAAGCGGGTCTACTCCCTATTTCTGGATGAGTCACGGTCCACACAGTACATGAAGGAGTACCAGGACGCCTTCCTCTTTAACGAGCTCAGTGAGTGGGTTAGCCCCGCTTCTGGGAGAGGAGGGGGAAGCCTGATTACCCCACCCCAGACCCCTCTGTTCTGACCCCCACTTCTCCCCACAGAAGGCGAGACCATGGACACGTCCTGAAACGACCTGACCCCCCTCCTTGACCCTGTTTTTTTCTACTCAAGTTCTATACTGTGACTTTGTATAAAATGGTTCTGAAATTAGGCTGCGCACGCGTACTCACTAGAGCCCACAAAAAGACCCCTCAGAGCGCAGGTTTCAGAAGTCTTTATTGGGAGGGAGTGATAGAGCAACCATTAGGCTCTGGAATTGATGGGGTGCAGAGGAAAGAGCCTTAGAGGAAAAGGAGACTGGGGAGGTGGGGGCGTTCACAAGTCATAGGTTGGGCTCTGGGGCCCCCGCAATCAGAGCTGCTGAGGCGACAGGGCCCACACCAGCAGCTAAGGGCCACAGGAAAGTTGACTGTGGGGTCCACTCCAGGTGGGCAACCGGGCAGCCGGACAGAGGCAAAACGCAACTCTCGGTATGTGCACACATGCTGGGGCATAGGTGGCAGGACGGCCGGCAGTACCCGCACCTGCAGACCAGAGGTAGAGAGGGGTACACAAGTGTTTGCCAGGGGCCAGGGCCTCACCTGACCTCCACAGAGTGCCCCAGGGGGATCCCAAAGATAGGTGTCCACAGTCCCCACTCACCATGCTGGGGCAGTAGCCGGCACAGATGCTGGTGGTGAAGGTGATGCAGACAGGGCAGGCCTCGTTCTCGGCAACCAGGGTGGCGTTGATGGGCCGGCAGAGGGGCCGCAGTGGCCCCCATGATGCCCACACCCCGCCTGAGCCCAGCAGCAGCCACAGCAACAGCCCCTGAGGCAAGACCCTGCCCTAAGCAAACACCACCTGTCCTGCTCCCCACTCACTAGTGCCGGGCCCTCCCCCTTTGACCTACCATCTTCCTCCAGCCTGTCTCCATACCAGGGGACCACCATTTCAGACATCCACCCGTAAACCCTGCCCAACACCCTCCCTCAGGGTCAGAGCTGTAGACTGCCTTCTAGAAAGAGGCCTTAGGTCCTAGCACAAGGACCCCTCCTTGCCAGACGTGGCCCCACCATCTCACCTGGAGTGCCTCCATCCTCAGTATGTCCCTTGCCACCTCCACCTGGCCTTATACCTGGGGACTGTGGGGGCGGCAAGGCCACTGGGCGCGGGGGCACGCAGTAACCTGGACACTAATCCCCTTCAGGGGTGAGAAGCGGGCAAGGTCAGCGAGCGCCCAGCCCCCACGGAGTGAGCCATCCACGATGACACGGGGCTCAAATTCTGCAGGTGCTCTGGAGGCACAGGAAGTGGGGTAAAGGAAGCACACAGCCGGGCCCCATTCCCGTGAAGCCCACACCTCTCAGCCCAGAAACTGATCAGCCACTGAACTCCAGCTGACATGGCTCTAATGTGACAGGCCTGTGGCTTCAACCCGGCTTTCAGCCCCATCTGAGAGGTGTCCTCATTGCTGTAAACAGAGGCTAGGCCACCTGCATCCAAACACCCCACGCCCAGTGTCCCAGCAGCCAGGATGCCTTGGAGCCGCCTCAGACTTGGGCTTTTTAACACTTTACGAGGAAAAGTCCTGCCCGCTCCGCTGCTGAGTGCTAGTCAGCCCGCAGAGCCCCAGCCCCAACGCACAATTCCCTGCTTCAGTCCCGCCCCCGCAGCCCAAAGGGTGTGTGGCATCGACCACAGAGCCAATGGGTGTGTCCCACTCAAGGGGCGGGGCTGTCCTGTGGTCAGACCAGCGCTGCCTTGCGGCTGCCATATCTTAAGCTCTCAGTGCGGTAGGCGTGCGGTACAGTGTAGATTGCTGGCACCGACTTCCAGTGGGGACCGCCCCAGGGCGCCTCCAGTGGGCAGAAACGGTCACGGCTGCGGAGTGGATGCAGCGGGGGACTGTAGGACTCCTGGGCCAGAGTCAGCGCTCCGTTGTGCGGCACTGCCGGCGGCACAAGGCGCGAGCGGGGCACCCGGACCCGCGGCAGCTGGTGTGGTCGAGAGGAGCGCGGACAAGGCGGCTGCTGTGGGCCGTGGCCCCAGGCCTGAGGCATCTCCTCGAAGCTCCAGTAGGTCAGCGAATCTTTGCGGGGGTATCCGGACAACTCCTTCCTGAGGAAGCAAAGGATGGGCAGAGTACAGTAGCTGTACCTTGAGGATATTTTTCTGGAGTCCATCATTGATCTGAGGCATCTTAGGAAGAATGGAGCCAGGGACTGGAGGGACTGGAGACTTTTGCATATATGGGAAGAAGTAACTAGGGATCCAGAAGAAAGGACCGCCCCCAGATGCACCCACGCATCTTGGATATCTGTCCCTACCGCAGGTGCCTGAGGTTGACACTACGGGCACCAGGGTGCTGAAATCCAGTGTGTGCAAGAGCTCACTTTGGGTAGGCGCGGAAGTCGCGGGCCGTGGTGGTGAGGTAGAGCTGACTGCGGTCCAGGACACCCTGGTCAGATACAGTGAAAGGCTGGCCGGCCAGCTCCAAGTTTCTGGTCCAGGGGACGAGAGCCTGTGTATTCGATCGGATAAGCGAAAAAGGGTTTCCCAAGGAGCTCTGGTAGCATACTTGTTACGAATCGGGCTGCTAACCTCAAGGGCAGCAGTTCGAATCTACCAGCTGTTCCGTGGGTCCCAAAGCACCCAAGACCTAACTGCAGCCTCAGTATCCTATCCTAGACGTTTAAGACATTCCCCCAGTAAAAATCACTTCTGACTTCATCCCGGTCACCGAACCACACCGCTATCCTCAAAAGCCCTCGGACCGTCCTTAGGTGCTTCAAGCTCTGCTCCCTACCCCTCCACCTCCCACCCCACCCCCGTGGCCAGCGACATCTCGGCAGGGCTACCTGGGAAGGGCCCCTGTGGTTGTGGTTTGCCAGCTCCAGGGACTCGGTCCCCCAATCAAAGGTGACACGCGGGTCCAAGCCAGGCCAGCCAGAGTACTGCTCCTTCGTCTCGCTAATATGGTGCTTCGAGCTCAAAGGGAGGCGCCAGGCGCTGTGTGTGAGCTGTGGAAAAGCAACAAGGTGACCCAACCCAACGCGAGGGCGCAGGGGACTTGTGCCATCTCCTGCAGAGGTGTAGCCAGGGGTGAGGCAGAGGGAGGCACTTGGCCCTGTTGCAAGCCCGAGGAGGTGCTACAATACGTTAGGCAGCGGGGTGGGGATGTGGGAGGAAGGCGTTTCTGCTGACTCCTTGGCAATTATCAGAGTCCTGGTGTAGCACTGTGGGATAATGCGCCAGACTGCAAAGCTGTTTGAACTGCAAGGTCGGCGGTTCAAACTCACCAGCTGCTCCTTGGAAACCCTATATAGACTCGCTATGAGTCGCAACCGACTTGAAGGCACTTGACAACAACATTCTTGAAATTGGGAGCGGGGTAGGCCCGGACACTCAATACTCTTGCGCTAGTCTTTAGTCTCTTGCCCTGCCCTCACCCCGCTTGGCCGGCTCAGAATTTTACCTTCTCCCCTAAATCCTTGATCCCTACAGTCCTCGTGGGGTCCTTGGGCTCCGCGGCTTTGGGCTGCGCGCAGGGGCCGCCATGGGTCTTGGGTACTTGAGCCGATCCGGAGGTGGTTTCCCACCTGCTGATGACCTCGTCGAAAGCCCAGATGTGTGGACCCTGTTTTGCGGCCAGTGGTAGGGGCTCCACGACTGTGGACTGGGATGGAGTCGCAGGACGTCAGCGGAAGACTGGAGTCCAACCCAGTCCTCTACCATTTGAGCCCTAGCCCTTTCCTTCCTCAACTGAGACCCACTCCACTTTTCTCTCAGTACCCAGCCCCTCCTTTTTCAGACGTGAGCATCTGAGCCCCCAGTCCCCCTGGCCCAGGAGCCTGGATCTTGTCACCTTCACAGTAGGCGGGGGAAAGGACACGGGTGGGATAATGTTGTGGCCGATGCCGCTGCTGGTGAGACGCCAATCGGGCCAAGATCTAGGCACCTCGGTCCAAGAGACGGGGTGCCATGAGGGACCACAGCACAGAGCTAGGGTCCGACCGGCCATGGCCCCACCCCCACTCCGTGGCCCAGCAGGAGCAGGCTTGTTGTTGTTGTTGCCCCAGGTAACAACGGAACCCGCCTACCCCCACATCCAACCAATGAAGGGCCTGCGATCATGTGACTGTATAGCGTGAGAAAGAGCTCTAAAGACTAGAACCCTCGCTGCAGACAGACTTTAGAAAGTTGGGGGGTGGGAAGAAGACTTGGAGAGAGGAGTGCAGGAGACTCGGGGTTGGGGATGAAGGTGATAGACGTTCCGAGAGAAAGTTTCAGAGATCCAGAGAGAGGGGAACAGAGTCCACCCAGGGAATAACTAAATCCGTGAGGAACACCCCTCTGTCTTTCCTCTGGACACAAACCCCGATTGTAGGCAGAGTCACATCCCTCCTGGTCGCCTCCACCCCGCTGCCAGGCCTGCCCACTCCTGGGGTAACGATTTCCAGACTTCCCAGGACTTGGCTGGCTCACCCTCCGTCCCTCCCCGTCTGTGCTGCAGTTAGTGTGGTCCGCCTTGCCTGCCTTTGATTTGGTTGAAAACTTCCACCTGGGTATGGGGGTGGGCGACAAAGAAGAGAACCACAGAGAAATACTTAGGGGGAAAGAAAAAAATAAAAATGAGGGACTATACTTACTTAGGGGAAAAAGAGAGGAACCGAGAGCTTTGATAAATGGGAATGAAATACACAAAGGAAAGAGAGAAACAGGCAGGGACAGAGAGAGCTCCTGACCCAGGAACAAGAGACATAGGAAGTGAGACAGAATCAGAGACCTAGAGGGCAGAGATGTAGAAATGGAGGCAGCCAGAGCCCCCTCCCAATCATCCTGCTAAACCTCAGTGATCCAGTCTGCGTAGGTGGGGCAAGGGGAGAGTCTGAGGCACTTGAGAACAAGTGAAGATGCCTGCAGAGCAAATGGTTTAGGCTAGACAGCTAATCTAAATGTCAGTGGTTCACACCAAACCCACTAAACTATGAAAGAAAGGTCTGGCAATTTCCTTTCCTAAAGATTATAGGGAGCAGTTCTACTCTATAATACACGAGGTTACCATGTGTTGGAATTAACAAGTTGTTATTCGTTTTAATTTTTTTTTTTATTTGGAGGAATGTGTGTTTGTTGGTAACAGGAGTAGGGTTACGAAGTGTTTATACATGAAAGGGTATCTTTGGGGTATGGGGGTCTGCCCTGGCTGACTTCCTTTCCTCCTCACCTCCTTTCAAAGACCTTTTATAGTCAAGGCCTCTGCCTCCTTGGCCCTCATGATCTCACTCCCCCAGCCCATTCTTCAGACTGGGATACTGAAGCTGCCTCATACAGCCTAGCCCAAGTCCCACTGTCCCACCATTCAAACTTCTGTTGGGATTGGGCATCTCTGGTTGGATTTCCCTGACCCTACTCAAGACCTGTCGGTGGGTGTTGCAGTGAACCCTAGTCCCAACCAGGGGCAGCCCAACTGGTAGAAACCTGATGTCTTACCCAAGCTGGGTAATGTTAAGGCCTATTTATTTCCCAGAGTAAGGTAAAAGTTAGAGGTGGGGATGGATGAGGTAGAAACCTGACTCCAACTCCATGCCCAGGGCTGACCTCTCCAGCATCCTCACCTCCTACCAGTCAACCTTTTCTTGTACTCCCCCTGTGATGAGTGACTCAATACTTTTCAAGAGAATTCCTAAGTTTATGGTTTAGTCATTGGGCTGCTAAGCAAAAAGTCAGCAGTTCAAACCCAACATCCACTCTGAGGGAGAAAGATGAGGCTGTCTGCTTCCATAAAGATTTAGTCTTAGACCCTGTATAGGGTTGTGATGAGTCAGAATCAGCTCCACGGTGGTGGATTTGGGATTTTTAAGCCAACACATGCTCCTGCTGACTAAACACGATTTCTCATTGGATCTCTGGCTCCCAGATACTTCAAGCATTTCTATAAGGTCATGTTCTCAAGGTCTTCTAGCTGGTCCTAGGCTTTCCCACCCCCAATGGTCAAATTCACGAGTTATTTGATGAAATTATGTGTTATAACTGATAAGTAGTAAGCACTCTGTAAATAATGGCTATCATCATCCTCCTCAAGTTCCTCCAGTAGAACTCCTATTCATCCTTCAAAACCCCACTTGGTTTCACCACCTGTCCTGCATAGATTGAGCTCTCAAAATCAGAGAGCTAGGATTTGGCATCCATTTGACAGGTCTACAAAAAGAGACACACACACACACACACACCCCTCGTCCCAGTCCAGCCAAGCCTTTCCCAAGGTCCCTCAGCATTTAGGTGTCTTCTTCCTAGGTCCATCCTGTTCTGGCTGGCCTCAGGCCCTGCCAGTGCGGCTGAGGAGTGTGCAGACGCAGGCGGTGTCGATTCGAATCCATCGCCAGCCCACTCGGCCCTGGGCATCAGCAGTCAAGGCCCGCACATAGGACTGTTTAGCCTTGCACTCTGACACCCAGTGTCGCCGGTCCACACCCCGACAGCCCCCACTGCCTCCACCGGGGCCACTTTCCCCAGCACTGTCGGCCTTGCATCGGGTCTCGAAGAAGTACTGGCGCAAGGGGCCACCACCGGCTGCAGGTACCTCACCCAGCACCTCCACCTCACGCCCACGCAGGTCCACAGCTGTCCGTCGGTCTGTCACCCAGCCACTGACTGCATCGCACACAGCCAGCTCGCCCCGGCGACTAGCTGGTGCTGTCTCGCTCACCCCGCGACGGCTGCGGTTGGCTGGCGTGCCCAAGGGCTCCCCAAAGGTCCCAGCCTCCAACAGAAAGAGTAGAGGGGGTCCTGCAGGGGCACCCCGGGATAGGGCTACTCGGGGGGATAGGAGGTCCCATTCAGGGGCCAGAAATGGGGGCAGTGGTGCGGGTGGGCCAAGGGGCTCTGATGGGACACTGGGGAGGAGGAATAGAAGGAGAATGGAGAGGGAGCCTGGGGTGTGGGGGAACATCTTGCTGAGCACCTGAAGAGAGAGAGGAGGGGCTGGCATTAGAAAAGACTGCAAAAGCTAGGGACCAGCATGCCAGATCCATAGGGGGAGACCCTTGTTCTGGAACTTTTAGGGACCCGATATTCTGGGACTTGGTCATGTCTGCTTCTAGATTAATAATATTCTATTACTACTAATGAAGTCCTGGTGTGGCACTGTAGGATCAGCACTGGACTGTGAACCACAAGGTTGGCAGTTCAAACCCACCAGCTACTCCTTGGAAACCCTCTACAGGGTCGCTATGAGTCGGAATTGATTTGATGGCACTTAACAACAATTATTACTAATAATGAGTCCGTGAGTGGTCCCATTCAGTACTCACTATGAGCTGAAAGGTTAATGGTTCAAACCTACCCAGAGGTATCTTGCAAGAAAGGTCTGACAATTTGCTTCTGAAAGGTCACAGCCTTTCCTTATGGACCCCAGTTGTCAACATTGCCATGAGTTGGAAATGCCGCAGCAGTAACACTAGCAAACCAATGGGGAAACCCAGGCTCAGAGGTTCATGACCAGCACCAGGTCCCAGAGCCTGTCCTGTCTCTATATCCTGAGGAGCCCCAGATCTTGCTGTTTAGAGGAGGTATGAGTTCTAAAAGTTTAGGAAATGCCAGGTTCTGGAATCCCAGGAACATCCAAGTCCAGCTGAAAATTGCCATTAATAGGTAAGACACGCCCCCCTGGGGCACAGCCTCAGAATATCCTTCTAGAAGGAACCTAGGGGCGTGGCTACGGCAGTTCCTCTAAACTTTCTGGAAGCCTAAGGTTCTGGGCAAAGGTAACCTAGAGAGGGTTAAGGGGCAGTGGTGGTTACCAGACCTGTCAGCACTTTCTCCGACTCCGAGGTCCTGGGCTGGGGGCCCCCAGGTTCCAGGTGGCCCCCTCCTCCCTGACATTTCAGGAGAGGGAGGGGGCAACCACCTAGGGAAGAGGCAACAGGTCGGTTGGATAGATAAGTGGGGGGAAGGCTGAGACCCTCCCAGCTTTCCTCTTACAATATAAGGTACCCAGGAGTTGGACGCCCCCTTCCTAGAGGCCCCTTCCCTGCCCAGGTGAAAGTTCCTGGCGGGATGAGAAGCAGATGGGGGGAGGGGACAGGCAGCGGATGGAGGAGGCTGGAATAGATTACATCCTCCGGCTCGGCCCATTCATCTCCCAGACGCGCTGGGGGCGGGGCGGGTCTGGACACTCAGGTCCCTGAGGGCCCGAACTCCAGAAGGCCCTGGGTCCCTGAGGCTGCTTCCTGGAATGTTCCCTCCTGATGGGACAGGCCGGGGCCCGCCCAAGACTTGTATACTACACATACCTGGAGTGACTGCTTGCCCTGGCTCAGAGATAGGGAAAGGGAAGGGTGGGGTGTGCGGAGGCGCGCCTGTGGCCCCAGTCTGGACTAGTAGTCTTGGCCCCTCGTCTCCTCTCCCCCAGACTCAGAATTCAGGCCCTCAGCTCTCATTCCTCAGATCCAGGAGACCGGACTCCAGCCCCGTCCCCCTCAGATGTAGGAATACGGACCCCTAGCCTCTTCCTCCTTTAGATCCAGGGATCTGGGCACCCAGGCCCTTCCTCTTGCGGACCCAGGTGTCCCAGACCCCCTAGCCCTCACGTTGCTCAGACCCAGTAATCCCGAAACCCTCCTCTCAGACCCAGGAATCCCGGACTCCTCCTCCCTAAGACCAGGGAGTCCGGCCGGGGCCCCCAGGTGCCTCCTCCCTCGGGACTAGGAATTCAGGTGTTCAGGCCCCTCAATCTCCAAGTACTCAGAAATCTGGACTCTCACACCCTTCTTCCCCCAGACAGCCCTATTCTTTCAGATCAGGTCGCCTGAGACCCTGCTAGGGGACTCATCGCTCCTGCCTCAGTTTCCTCCACCAAGCCCCGCCTCCATCGGCCCCGCCCCTGCCCCTCCCTACCCGGGGGCAGGGCGACCGGGACGCCTGCATCCCGGGGGGCGGAGGCGGGAGACTCTTACCTGGGGCGCGCTCTTCGGCTTCCCCGCGGCCCCTAGTGCGGCGGCAGCTCCTCCTCCCGCTCACTGTCTGCGGGGCCGCTCGCGCCCGCCGGCTCCGCGCTGCACAAGC